ATATTTTGTGGAATTTCATCTAATCAAATATTAGCAAGTATTTTAGATATGCAAGATTGGGGAATCAAATTTTATGAACAACAACAATGTACTTATATCATGTTTTGTGATTATAAAGATATTATTGAAGAAGAAAATCCTATTATACAAGCTATTGCACAGCAATCGGCTTATAATAAGAAGTTTTATAAACCAAAATGTAAACGGAGTCAATTAGTAGTAGAATGGAAAAAACAAAAAACTACTAAGATGAATAGTAATATTACTTAAGCGGGCATATTTATTTTCATTTTTATCTAAGCTATAATTTAAATGAATTACATGCAGCAAATTATTTAATAACAAATTATTTAATTACTTTAAATATAAAACAATAATTTAATTGTTTTTATGTATTTATATGAATATTTTGCGGTCGTTGATTATTTACTGAAGTATTATTATAATAAAGCATTCAATTTTCATGTTGTAGAATTTTCATAATTGCATTATTACTATGCATCGTTTTATTAAGAAAATATGCTATTTGTTGATGATTTTTCTTTTCGACTCCACTATATGAAAATGCTGCTAACCCCCATTCTCGATGAATTGTCATAAATTCAGAAATATGATAAATCAGTATATGAATATATGGCATCATGTCATCAGTCGATATAAACCTTTTTTAAAATCTTGAGTATTTGGAATTTCTTCAGATGGTAATAAAAATAAGGCAAGCCACTTTTTTGCATAATACTGAAAGTCTTCACCTTTTGTTTCAGGATTCTTTATCATTTTATAAAGTTCATAAAATTTGTTCTATAATTTTCTTATAATACTAACACGATTTTTTGAGAGAATTGTTGATAAATCAAAAAATCACAACACTTTAAGCTTATCGTCCCCCATTAATGAAGTATAATTCCAATCCTTAGATTCTCGATTTTGCTAGAACTGAAAACTAACATGAATTCTACTCATTTCTTCTATGATAATTTCCTGTGCAATATCATTAAATAAATTATATTCAATTAATTCAGCTATTACAAGACTCCATAATTGATCAGTAATTCTAAGCATAATATGCAATTCATCAGAAATCTAACAATGAAGAGGTATCATATTAAAAAGTGGTATTTTTGAATGTCCTTTGTAGGAATTAGGATGTTCGACTAATATATCCATTTTTTTTACAGATTTTCTATTCATTTGATAGATTTCCTTGTTGTGATTTATTAATTGTACACTATAAACAAAAGTTTTTACTATTTGCACTATTAAAATCTAAGCAAATCGCTAAGAATTTCCAGTCAGATGAAAAATAAAATTGAAAGCTCCATTTAATATTGTCAACTATTAATCCTTGGTCTTTTAAACTGATTAAATCATTATGAAATGGAGCTGTTATATTCATTAATGTTTCATAGTCTTCAGAACCAGGATAAAGTATAATAGTATAATAATAATTGGGTTGTTGTAATGTATCTTTATCATCCAGAATAGCCATTGTTATTATTATATGTTTTACTTGTCTCCCAATATTTTGTCCATCTCCAGATATTCAAAGATTAACAATTGGTTGCTGCAATTTTAAAATTCCTTTTTGAACAAGGTTTGGAATTAAATATTGTAAAATATCTTTAATATATCTATAACCACCTTTACTAATTGTGCTAACTACTTCTTGTACTATAGATTCATTATCTATATCTGCTTCTTTATTTTTGTCAATTTGACTTTTAGTGATTATATCTACATTAGATATTGGTATAAGCTGCGCTATTTTTTTATTTATTGCTTAGCATTCTTGATATATATATTTTTCATATGGTAAATGAGACCCTATAGCATATAAATCTCGGTAAGAATTTCTTGAAATATTTTGTTCATCAAATGTTTTAGCTATCAACTCAGTTTTTTGCTTTTTTTTAACCTTATCATTGTCATTATAATTGATTTCATAAGTACCAATATGCTTTTTAACTGAATAACTTAGATTTTCCAATATCGGTATATCATTAGAATTATATAGTTTTGAAACTTTCTTATTAAATTTGGTTAATATTAATTTTCTAACATTAATAGCCTATTTTGTAAGATTAGAGTTACTACATTGATCAACTGGCTTTAATGTATTCGAATATCATTTTGATTTTCTTACTTTATTTAATATTTTAAGATGAAGGCCAAATAAATATACACCTGATATTTTAGTTTTTTTTTTAGATGTATGTTTCTAAAAAATAAAATTGTATTAATTCATATAAATATAAAATATTTTCTTAAAATAAGTATTAAATACAAACTTTATGAAATAAATTTGCAGCATCTGTAGCCGTTTTAGTAAAAAATACTTCATATTCAAAATATTTTCCAAAACATATTTGGAAAACTGGACCTTCTTTATTATAGTTAATAGAGCATTGAACAGTACATTGATTATTGCCTCTACCCCAGGTAGTTTCTATTGTATAATTATCAGGAATTTGATATTTATTTGGAGGAAGGGTATGCGCTAATAATGATTTGTTAGGATATGTGCCTTCTTTGACAACTTTATATAAAAAACTATGATTTGGTTGTTTAAATTTAATAATTGAATCGAAAGGATAATTATGAATTTCTTGCGTATTGTCTATTGTAACAAAGTAAGTAATAAGTATCAATTAAATTATTTATATTGTATATATTTCTTAAATATATATAGTGATAAAAATACGATAGTTAATCATATGGTCAAATCATTTAACTCATATTAACACATCCATCAAATATATATCATAAATTTTAGGGTAGTGTAAAAATGCACCGTAATGGTTAAATAAAGGGAACGTCTATTTTCACTATGAAAAGTTGCTATTTCTACCTTACGTAAGCATGATCTCATGGTGGTTCCCTAAAACGTATGTTATTTTCAAATTGAAAAAATGATATTCGTCAATTAATAATTGTAGCAGATTAAAATGAAATCAGATTAAAATGAAATAAGAGATAGTGTAAAATAGACAAGCCACCGAAAAATACAAATTTTTGGGGTGCATTTTTTTAGCATTTTTTAGGGTTAGGACTAGGGTTTAGAAGCAGGTTTTATAATAAACAAGTATAAGTGGGTTTTAGGAGTCAAATAGAAACTCTTTATTTCATTTTAATCTGATTTCATTATGATCTGCGACAATAATTGACATAAATTGCAAATAACATAGATTATTTTCACAATTTAACATAATTTATCATGACAGCTCGTCATGTTCATGTAGCTGAAAGTTATATAGAAAGCATGGCAGCATGGTGGAAATAGCAAGTGTCTATGGTGTAAATAGGTGTTCCCTAAATAAATTACAAATTTTATATTCGATACTATATTAGATTCAACAAATCAGATTTCATAAAGGGTACATCCCAAAATATTTTTTATTTTCCAAGTTAGAATCGAGTAATTCTTGTATGTCTTTATATTTTACTTAAATAAGTATTGGTTTTTTTTAGAGCTTCGATCCTACTTTTGACAGGCAATCCAGATTCTATTAAATCCGGATTGAATCCGCATTAGGTTACATATAAAGCTAGCTTTGTAGCAAATCCTTAGGTTCATTAATTAAGTTCTTTGACTAATTGAGTAAAAATCTTTGATCTAAATATCTGAATCTACCTGGATTTAAAGATCAATTCAGATAGTCGGATTAAGGATTGAAGCTCTAGTTTTTTTTGAAAATAAATATCTTTATTTTGGTTTAAAATAAAAAAAATTGAGTTTTTGAAAATTTTGGATTGGCGGGTAATGCAAAACGAAAAATTAACTTTGTGAGACCTAATACTTATTTTTAACCCTGAAATCTAATATTTCTAAATGCATGTTTGATTTTACCTCCTGAAGTGCAATACTTCTAAATATACGTTTAATTTTACCTCCTGAAATGCAATACTTCAAAATGTACGTTTGATTAAATTTTTTTTTTTACGCATGGACCTGGTACAGTCAACTCTCACTAAGTGCAAGTCAACGGGCCAGCAAAATAACTTGCATTTAGAGAGAACTTGCAATTAAAGAAAACTAAATTAATATATAATTAATTCTCTCTAAATGCAAGTTTATAAGTTAAAAAAAAAATCTTGCACTTAGAAAAAAAACCTTTAATTAAATAAGTCAATTTAATTGGTTAATAAAATATCTTGCAATTAGAGAAAATAATTTTATATATGCTGACTAAAAAAAATCTTGCACTTACAGAATAAAGAACTTGCATTTATATTATAAGTCCCAACACGGAACCAGACTATTTAATTGCATTTAAAGAGAAGTTGCACTTAGAGGACATGTATTTAGAGGGAGTTGACTGTACAATGTATTTAGAGTCGGATTTTTTTATTTTTATTTTTTATTGTCCGAAGTGTAGCGAGGACTCACTTTGATAAAAGTTGAATGCACGTCTATGCAATGTATGTCCGAAACATCCAATAAGAATTGAGAATTGAAAGTTCCCATGATGATAAGCAGTCAATTTAACAGTAAATAGTTCTCTAGGTTACACATAGTACTCTGGTGATAATCACCACCGGTTATAGTTAGTAATCTATAATATATTAAAAAAATTAGATTTCTGCAAGGTAGACGGACATTGTATATTCATGTTACATAGCTGCATATTTTGCCTTATTTAGCACATGTTTGTATAATAACTCCTTATTTTAATCACATGTTCATGTAACGATTTCTCACGTGCTTTATTCATATTTCATGTAATGTATTCATGTGTTAATTTGTCTGTTAATATATATAATATGTATGTATTTTATTTTTTTTGCTGCAACCACGACTTGAATTTTTATATTTGTTATTATGGATAACATTAGTGAGACCTCTATTGAACGAAGACGTAGATTGAAAAGAGAATCTGCTGCTCGACAAAGAGCTAACCAATCTTCAGAGCAAAATGAACACTGTAAAAGGCAATATAGAGAATCAAAGGGTCAAAAAATTACGCGTGATGTACCTGCTGAACTTACTCAAAGTTCTTAAATACTGTTCTATGATTGTATTCCAGTTGTATCTCCTACTAACGTTACTAACCTTTTGATGCCCTCTAACCCTAATGTACTATTCTTAGGACCTTCTCATCATGAAGATGCTCTTCCGGATAATTTTCAAACTGTCAATTTTCATGTTTCTCCTGTTATTACAGTATCAAGTGTTTCAATTCCAAAAGCACGTGTGTATCCTTTTAATTCAAGTAGGCTACAACAACATACTCTTAGAAAAATGAATATTTCATGTGTTTCTTGCGGTGCCTTAAAATGGGTAAATGAAAGAGTTGCAGGTTCGACTAAACATTCACCTGTATTTGCAACCTGTTGTGCTAGAGGAAAAGTTTTGCTACCATGTCTTCAGGAACCTTCAGCTGAATTAAAATCTTACTTAACGGGTGATGATGAGTTTTCACAAGAATTTTGCCAAAATATCCGTGCTTATAATTCAACTTTAGCTTTTACTTCTATGGGAGCTAAAATTGACCATCGTATAACTGGCACAAGAGGTCCTT